GATTAAAAAAAAGTTTAAAAAATGAAAAATGTAATTACCGACGACATGATGAATTACCGGCGACTGGAGCATTAGCGGTGACAGATTGTTACCGGCGACAACAGAATTCGTGGCGACAAGTTTTATTACCGGCGACATTTTGATCAATAGCGACGGGGCGCTAGCGGCGACTTTTTACCGGCGACGAGTAACCGTTATTACCTTTTTCAGCGACTTTGATAGTCTTTATCGGCGACTTTTGTCGCCGTTATTACCCTTTTTTTTCTTTTAGTGGTAGTCTGAGTGATTTGTAAAATATTACAAACAAACTTTTCTCTATATTTTTTTTGTTTTCCCTGAGTAACTAACACACAAGAAAAAAATTTAGTGGTAGTCTCAGTGATTTGTAAAATACTACAAACAAACTTTTCTCTATATTTTTTTTTCCTGAGTAACTAACACACAAGAAAAAATCTCTATATGTTTTTCCTTTCTGTCTTCTTCTTAATGAAGAAACTCTCCTAAGAGTTGTGGGTTTCTTGTCCAATGAGACCAAATATATATAAGTTTGGGTGTGAACACATTCAACTATGTTCAAATGTTGACACTAGTCAACCCATGAGGCTAGAGATAAGAAGTATTTAGTTTGGAACTAAAAAACCGAAAATCAAACCAAACCAAAATAAATTTATGACAAAACGAATAATGAATTTGGTTTATGATTTGAATTATGGTCTCATGATGTTTGATCGAAACCAAACCGAATTATGGAAATTAGTTTATTTATTAAATAATTAATATTTCAATACTTTTATAGTAAATTTGATTTAACGATATGTATTACATTATTAGAGAGTAAAAATATTAAATTTGGTCATTTTTTCTCTTACAAGATAGTGTGGACTTTGATTTTCAAATATAAAATTTGGTCATTTTATCTCTTACAATATATTGTGGATTTTGATTTTGTATAAGTTATTGTTCATGGATTATGTATTTTGACTTTTTTTTTATACTTAACTTATATAGAAAACTGAAATGTAAATTTTATGTCTTGAACCTTTGAACTTATAGCTTAGTTTTAATCTTATTTTATTTTTTTTTTTTATTTACTTTTTTTTTCAAACCAAACCAAACCAAAACGAATTGTAATTTGGTTTTTGGTTTGGCGCTAGTAACATTGAGTTTGGTTTGGTTTTTGGTTTGGAAACAAATAAATTTCTAACCGAAAAAAACCAAATCGAGGATACTAAAGACACCGTAAACCAAACCAATTCTCATCTATATATGTGGTCATGAAGATTCACTTGCAATGACTCCAGCGTATGAAATTGTTCTCCGTCGCCTTAGAGTCAAGTGAGCCATTGTCGAATACCATCTCTATGTCTCATTGCTCTCTCCTCTAATTTGAACAACGTTTTACCCTCTCACAACCTTAATCCTTATTCTTTCTCTCTCGCAATGATTACTATCTACTCTTTCATTTTGTTTTGAACACCAAGAAATCATTCCTAATAAATGAAAATAATTTTGCCAAATGTCACTCTTTAATTAACTTGGACACATGTCATTTTCTGGTATTTTCTAATAATTTTTTTCCATGTGCCATTTTTTCATTTTTTATATTTTCTTAATTAACAGATCACATTTACACCTCAATTAATAATTGTCAAAATTGAAAATAATCAATAAATGACAATATTACTACTCATATATTGTATTTAATATATTTTCTTTTAATTTTAAATTTTAAATTTTAAATTTCAAATCTAAAATTTCAATTTTAAATAAATTTTTGTTTAAACCTTCATATTTAATTTTTTGTTTTATCCAACCCGTATAACATACCGGTCTCACAGCTAGTCTACTCTAATAAATGAAAGTTTTTTTTTGCCACTTGTCACACCCTCATTCAAATTGTCAAATGTCATTTTGTGGTTATTTTGAATTAATTTTTATTTCACATGTCATTTTATGGTTTTTCTATTTTATTACTTACAAATAGTATTTAAATGCAATAATAAATGCATATTAATTTTATTAATGACCTTTCCTTTTTAATTTCAAAGTTACTAAATTAAAGTTTCATTAGTTTTCTATATTTATTTATCTAAATTATTTGTTTAAATTTAGAGAAAAAACACTTTTATTTTTATAATTCAATATTTTTCTCATTTTTTTTATAAATTCAAACTTTTCAAATGTTAATAATTTTATATTTGGTTTTTTTCTTTTAAATAAACTCATATAATACATAAGTCTCATACCTAGTATAATAATAAAAACCTGTTAGGGTAATCTTGATGGGTTAAGTGCATGGAGATGGATCGAATTATGGGTCACAGATCATGGTCTTGCTTGATTTAGTCTCAGGGGTTAAGAAGAAAGAAAGAAGGAAAGAAAGAAGAAAGAACTTCATGGCTGGAAAGTGAGTTCCACCAAAGATCGATGCTAGCAAGAACTAGCAAGAGAAGACCGAAGACCGAGGAGCCACAAAAGACCGGGAGGCATCTAGTAAGATTTGTTCAAGACAGATTTGTTCGAGACCGAAAGGGACAACCGTGACCGGAGGGTTATCAAGACCGACATTTCAATAGAAGAAGACCGACATGCTGAATCAAATGACCGAAGATTCACATTAAGACCGAGACCGTGTTCGTGATTATGATCATAAGAGCCGAGACCTCGATAGGCATCAAGATTATGGGGGTGAATGTTAGGGTAATCTTGATGGGTTAAGTGCATGGAGATGGATCGAGTTATGGGTCACAGATCATGGTCCTGCTTGATTTAGTCTCAGGGGTTAATAAGTAAATAAAGAAGAGTTAGTGGGTTTACCGAGTCTTTGGTTGACCGCGTATTGTGAGATATATATGCATGGCAGGTTTTATGGAGACAATAAAGGTGTACGTGGGCTAGGTAGTTTGTTATTTTTATTGTATTTAGGATGTAGTCTATAAATAGGTTAGATAGTTTTCATTAACGGTGTAATCAGTTTTCTTGTTGAAAGTAATATAGAAGTGAGAAAACCCAATAACCTTGAGCAATATATGAGAGTCGTTATCAGGGTGTATGTTCTGGGGTTGTTTGCAGGAGGGTTAAGGAAGGCTGATTTCCAACAAAACCCACTCCTAGCAAAAAATATATTTACCGATCAAGTTTGGGTTATCACACCACCTATTAATTCCAATCCATTTCCCTACCATACCTAGACCTGTTTTGATCCAATTGAAAGACAAAATTTTAACCTCGCTCAAAAGAATTTGACTAGATTTTACAATGCTGTTAAAAGTCTTGTTGATCCTGAAACGACAGATCATGCCAAGGCGAGAAAATCACCCACAATCTTGTTGCAACCTTCTCGTCATGCCTTGGTAATCTGCTGCAAAACTTTTATCCTCCACCAACCTCGAACTAACTTCAAAACTTCTTTCCCAGTGGTATATTAAATATCTACATGCAAATCATACTCTTTCATTTGACTCCTTTTTTTTGTTATTAGGATTGTTATAAAGAAAAAAATAATTTAGAAACGGTCTCTACCTCTTATTACCCATAACCCCAATCCTCTAATGATATATTACACATAACTCTAGTCCATATATACCATGTAATTAATAAAGTAATGTGGTGTCAAAAAGTTTTATGCTTAATATGTTGGCAAATGTAGAAATTCTCAAAAGTCTTGATCTCATGTCATTTTTATATATTTTCCTACATATATTAAGATTTATGAATTTATAAGTTAATTTTATATAATTTTGTATTTTTTTTGGTTGAGAATAATAATTTTATAATATATTTGTGATCTGAGTATTTGACAGTTTAATAATCTTCTCAAGACAACTCCTAAACAAGAGCACTTCATATGATCACCATTAGTTGTTTTATTAATAAAATATTTCACATCTTCTGGTTTTCCGTTAAACAATCTATATATTGATTATTTACCATTATTCCTTTATAACCAGCTTTTATAGAGTTTTAATGAGCTTTTTCGATAATAGCTAATTCATGGAAAATTTGCTTAAATGAATCTAGTTTGAAGTATTCTTCCGGCCCCTCTAGCTTTGGTAGTCGTGTTCGGCCCATGTTCTTGTCTCTACCTTGTAGTTTAGAGTCGTTTACCTTCTTGGTTAATGAATAGGTGAGTGTGTAGAGTAGGTGAGGTGTAGTGAGGTTTGTTGTAATTAAATACTCCCTATTTGAATGATCTGGTTCTTTATAATATAGAGAGTTGTCCAGCTATTTCCATTTCCTATTCCACTTTGAATTACGGTTCTTGGACAATTCCATTCCCTTGGGGAAAAATTCTTTGAAGCAACGGACACCTCAAGCGTGACAGAAATACTACGATATTGCAAAATTAGTTGCCAAACTCACAAAAGGCGTCCATCATTCCATGACAAGGATTAAGAAAAATGATTCTCGGTGTCATGAGTGCTAAAGATTTGGACACTTTGAGGTAGAATCTCTAACCTACTAAAAGTAATATCTTCTAGCTGCTTTACTTTCAGGAAGTAAACCTTAGTAGATCCAATCGTTTCAAATTGGGACAATACACGAAGGAGTCAAGTGGGCATAAAAATATAATATTTATGCAGCATAACATGTTAGTTTACTTACACTGCTGAGGACGATTTTAGTTTTAAAACAAGATGCCATCGAAAACAAGCCACACGGTTGCATTTAGAATGATTTGTTATTTGTTAAAACCAAGAAACAAAGGTGTCTGTAGCATTAAAAATATGCAATGCAGGGGTGGCATGGGAACAATTCCTGCAGAAAACACATGAAATAAAGGCATCTCTCTGATGGATCCGTAACCAGTGGCAATGAATACAGTCAAACATGGTCTCTTCACCAGGAGCAATGCCAGAAAACTCCAAAGAGTGCACATGCTTCATCCGTGTGATATTGATCCTAACTGTCTTAAGTTTGCATATATATACAGATAGAGAAAATAGATTTGGTATATACCATCACGAACTTTTGCATTCTATTCTTCACAAAATACCAGAATGGATTGTTCAACCTCTTATTCTTCATCATCCACCAGTATTCGCCACATTCGATCAACTAGTTTGCCTAACCGATCACATCCAAGCACTCTTCATTTTGAAGAAGAGTTCACCAACTTTAAAAAGTTGGAGGCTTCTACCTCTTCCGTGCTAACTACAGATAAAATATGTGATGCTTTACTAGGCCTGGAAAGATTACATACATGTGTTAATGATCTTATCAGTTTGCCACTGACCCGACAAGCACTTTCTCACGAAAAGCATCAGAAATTTGTTGATAAGTTGTTGGATCAATCGATGATGCTTTTGGATGTCTGTGGCTCCGTAAGAGATGCCATGCAACAATTCAAGCAACATCTCCGAGACCTTCAATCGGCTCAGAGAAGGGGCAAGGGGGACATGAGCATCAACACTTCCTTCTTCAATAAAATGAAGAAGGATACCAGAAGAACACTTTCCTCACTTAAGAAAATCAGTAACAAGATGGGGGCCACTGCACTCTTAAATATAGATCAACAAGTCTCAGATGTGATTAGGTCACTAAAAGATACTAGCTTAGTGAGCATCTCTGTGTATGAATCAATCCTGTCACTTACATCGGCTTTGGTCTCAAAACCAAAGCCTTTAAGATGGTCAATAGTTTCAAATTTGATCCACAAAGGCACCATAGAGAATGTGGATCACCCTCAAGTTTCAATTGAGGCTCTAGAGTGTCACATTGATGTCATTGAGAATGGTTTGGAGTGTGTCTTTAGGAACTTGATTAAAACAAGAGCCGGTCTCCTAAATACTCACTCGCACTAGCTGCAATGTAAAACATAGATTACTAGATGGGCATTGAAGATTGTATCGGATATAGTATTGTTTTATAAAATGTGCAGATGTAGCTAGAAATATATAAATGTTATTGGTTACTCAAATTATGTGTCTTTTATTATCATATTGCTTTTCGTATAATTTAATATCATCCAAAGATTTTAGTGGTTGATCTAAGGGAGTCGTATATCCACACTAACACACACTAGTAGGGATGTAAGTGGGTTCAAACCCGACCCGATTGGACCCGGACCCGGAAAACCCGGAAACCGGAATTGACGGATTATAAGACCCGAGAACCGGACCGGTATACAGGAACCGGTTCCGGTTCAGTTCGAGGTATTGGGCCGGATAAAGTGGGTATGGAACCGGTTGGAACCGAAAATTACTAATTGGAACCGGTTTCGTGTATTAGACCCGGATGGACTCGGAAACCCGAAAATATAAATGCAAAAAATTACATATTAGCTTCTCATATAAAATGGAAAAATAACATGTTATGAAAAGAAAAAAAATAGTTTTGTTTTTTGGCAACAAGCTACTGATTTATAATATTTTTTGGGGGCTGCAATTTATACGGAATGCAATTTATATATTTTTTTTCTTTACTGCAAAGTGCAAACGGTAGAAACAAAATAAAAAAAAATGCCGAAGTTTTTTTTTTGGGCAGCTTTCGTAATATAACATGTTTCTTTTTTTGGATGAGTCCACCATATGGAAAATGTCATTGCGCTCAACTGGTAAGACCATGTGCTCATGCAAAATAGACAAACATGTGAAACGTATAGGCCCCCAATTTATTTTTTTTAGTTAAACATGAGTTTTATTCTGCATTTATCGATAATTATTGTGCTGGTCTGATTTATTTATTTTGACATTTAAACTCCTTTAAAAATACTTTGTTTTTCTTAAATTTAAACTTGAACTTTGTACTGTATATACTATATGTACATAAATCAATTTGTTACATAGCAGATATAAATTTTGGTTTAGTTCGTACTTTCAATGGAAAAATAAGTTCCACAATAACCCGGTTGCACATTATACCCGGTTCCGGTTTTTTAAACCCGGACCCGGTCCATTAAACCCGGTTCCGGTTTTTTAAACAAAACCGGTTCAAAAACCCGGATTAACCGGACCCGTTGGACCCATACCCGAAATACCCGGAACCCGGATAAGAGTAATTTTGAAATCCAATACCCGGACCGTTTAAGCATTTTCCGGTTATACCGGTTCCGGTCCGATTCCGGTTCCGGTCCGGTTTTCCGGTTTTATAACTCATCCCTACACACTACTACAACGTGTTTCATAAATTCCGGTTAAAAGGAGCAATTAATGAATGCACTTTCGCAACGGATGAAATGGTGCAAAACATCTCTTAAATTCTCAGAGAATCGAGTTTTAAAACGAATCATATATGCCTTAAGTTCCAGTTTCTTCATCAAAGAGACACAACCTTTTAACTAATTAAAATACCTGATTCCCCAACGATTGCCTACATATTTCAGTAATTATAAGCCTTACTTTTGACTTTGCAACCAGATATTTTGAATAACTAAAAGTTCCGATTTCTAAACCGTAACGGAAACCTTTTATGAATAAATGGACCGCTTTATTACATGAAAACCTGATCTCTTCTAACTATTGAGGACTAGATTTCATTGATTCAAAATGATAAACGTACAAAGATAAATACATTACAATAAGCCCATGGGCCGTATACTAGGTTATACACTATGGGTTATATAATACAATATAATAAACCCAAATAATAAATACACAATAGATACACATTAACATCCCTATCAGTTTGATTCCGGAGGCCGAAGGATGTTCAAACTGGCTTTGAATTCGTGAAAAAGAGAGTCCATTCATGAAGATGTCGGCATACTATAAGTTGGAAAAGAAATGAAGAAGACGAACAAGGTCTAGTGCAAGTTTCGTCCCAGACGAAGTGGATGTCGATCTTTATGTGTTTCATATCACGAGGTTGTACCATGTTGGTACACATATAATAAACACTAATGTTATCGTGATACACAATAGTGGCATTGTTTGTTGGACACCGATATTCCTATGTAAGGTTACAAAGCCAAGTAGTTTTCAATTCCTACATTAGCAACCCCACGATACTTCCATACTGCAATGTGTTATGTCACCCCAGCATTGGAGGACTAGGATTCAAGTTTGACTCCTAATAAAGAAACAATAACTTGATGTAGATGTCCAAGACGTTGGGCAACCCCAGTCTATATGAGTAAGCAATAACACTACTAGAATGAAGGCCTTTAATGACATGCGAATAATGACACGCACTAGATTTATGACACACAAAATGGGTGTCGAAAATATGTCATCTCTTATAAAATTTGAAAGATTTACGACTCACATTTTTGCATGTCCTTAAATTACATGTTGTTTTATACTTTTTTAGGTAACACACGTCCTTAGTAGCTAGCAGGTAAACCAAATCCCCAAAAATTAGAAAACTCCGCCTATCCAAAATACCCATTTTTGTTCTTCATTTTCGCTTCATATTTTCGCTAAATTAGGGTTTAATTTGGGGAATTGAACATTTGATTTTGGTCATCTGAGATTACACCGATCAAGTTATTTATAAAATGATATTGGTTATGTTACTAGCTAATTTCAAATTTATATTTTTCTCTGTTATCATATTTACAATTGCAGGATGAGGAGGCATGAAATAATCATTTTCGTAGGAATAATTCCATTCATTTTGGATATTCTTCTCTCTTAAAAAAAAAGTTGAAGACCGTGTTGAGTCGGCGACTCCTTGTCATTCTTTAAGATTTGAGACACATCTTTCATTAGAAATCAAAGGTTTAAGATGCGATTTGCCCTTATTTTCAACCCTTCTAACCTTAATTCGTTCCCTCATACTTACTCTCATCCCTAACCTAACCCTAATTTCCTCCATTCACCACTCCTTTCCTCCCAAGATGAACGATTCCTAATTTATTTATCATATGAGTCTTTCTAGTTTCTGCTATTGGAATTTGGGTTTTCATGATATATGTCAATCACAAGGTATCTCTATCAATTAGTGGTTCAGGTATGGATCTTTTATTTTAGGTTTGTATCCTTCCTTCTTCAACCTATATATGTCATGATAGTTTAGTTGTTTATTGATATGTGCATATCTATACATATATTTTACACCATATCTTAATATTTTTAGCTGTTTTTATGCTCATTATAGACCAAAAGGTACTTAATCTATTGTATATTGTGTTGTAGGGTAAAAGACATCCTCGGAGCGAAAAGGAAGTTGGAAGCTAGGAATTTGGATCAAGGCTAAAAATGAAGAAAAACACACTTACCACGTTGTGGTGACATTCCCACTAACATGGCGTTTTGGATTTTCCCGATGGATCTAGAAGACTTGTTGAATACGGGATAAACACGAAGGCCACGACGTGCTGGACTTACCATGTCGTGGTGGTCTGCTTTCGTGAAAACTATATATAGAAGTCGTTATCCTCTAAAAACTCAACTTTTGTTGGAGCTATTTTCGTCTTTTGAAGTCCAACAACACCCTTTGAAGCTTGGAGTTGCAGTTGGATTCAAGAGATTTGAGGCAATAAAACTTCCGATTACATTTTTCTTCTTGAGTTTAATCGTGACTGCTAAGTTGAATTTCGTTTTTCTATGTTTACTTGTTGAAATCATGGGATAAAATCCTATGACTTTCGTTTAGATTAGATTGATTGACTTTTTATGGGTTGATTTATGGTTTGGATGATGTCTAGTTGGTTACTTTAGTTTATTAAAGAACCTTCTATGCTTACCAGAACTACTTTTATGTTTATTTTTGAGTTTAATTAAGTTTGCATGACCATCACTCTTAATTGAGCTTGAATCTTATGATCTTTGTGAATTGAAAAATTCTAGGACAAGAGTTTTTACTAAAACCTAGGGTTAAATAGAAAAGTGGGTAAATAATTGTAGGGGCTAATATATGACGACCAATCATATATTGAATTGATTTAATAAACCAAATTAATCAATAAGTTATAAGTCTAATTTAACTCGAAACGAGCACTAGTGAATTTGATAGTTTACCCGCCTGATCACCGTATGAATTAACTTATTCACTAAAGGATTAAGTTAGTGAACATTAACTTGGTCGTCTAAGGAATCGGTAATGAACGGAGCATTAATCCATTGCACTTCCATAAATCAACCATAATAGCAAGTATATCGAAGTTAAACGAAAGTTTCTCAATCACCTTCGTTAAAATCGTCTTTTGTGTTTCTTGCTTTTAATTTTAGTCTTTGTTTCATTAGTTGATAATAGTTAGTTTGGTTAATTAAGTTTCTATTCTTGCAAAACTAGAGAAACCCCATTTTTTATTAATTAAATAGTAATTTGGGTAGTTAGTAAAATAAGTTAGCTAAACATTCAGTTCCCTGTGTTCGATACCCGACTATTGTGCTATTCTATTTTCAAGAAGGTTCACTGCCTTAGGAAGTAATAATTAGTTACATTAGTACGTTTAACTACTGCATAATAATTTTCGCATCAAGTTTTTGGCACCGTTGCCGGGAACGGTCCATTCTTAGTTATTTTGAATCTACTATTTTATTGGGATTTTTTTTTCTGTATATTTTCTTATAAATTTTCGTTTAGCTTTTTTGTTTCTTCTATTTGACTTACCACGCCGTGGTCATAAACACCACGTCGTGGTGTCGTAACAGTTTCAGTTTTATTTTTGTTTTATTCTTTTTACGCGTTTGATTTGTTTTTGTTTCAGTGATTTATGATCCGAGGATCAAAGACACCAATCATACCACCATTTGACGATCCTGGATTAGAATTTCATAAGAAGAAGACAACCAAACTTGGAGAATCAAGTAAAAGAACTCTAGAAAGCGAATTCAAAAGTTTTGAGAAGAATCATAACAAAAAGGGGTCAGGTTACGAGCCTGAAAGCAAACAAGAATCACACAAAGTAAGCAAAACC